CAATTTACAACGCGCTAAAAAAGATCTATCTCATAAGGACACTTATGAAAGCCGATGCGGCTTTTAACTAATTTTATAATATTTTAACAACTTAAATGTAAAATCTATTATAATTAATTATATAACAAATAATTGTATTAAAAATTCATTTTCATCGAAAAAATTTTTTTTGCTTTCAGAAAATATTGTCCATATTCATAAAAACAACTAAAAGCAAATAAAAGCATTTGAAATTAAATAATATCTTTGTTTTATTGAGTTTTGTATGTTACAATTCAGAGCTGATTTTCAGGTACTGCGTATCCAATTAAAAAAAACAAAAACATGATTTGCATTCCTCAAAGCCCTGTGCTTTTAATTATTGTAATCACTAAAACCGATGCGATCGAATTTCTAGCGTTTTCATAAAATTAGTTATGGGGGGTAATAAATATTTAAAAAAAAATATTTCTACCATGACTTTCATAAAAAAAAAAACATATTTATAATAATTTCGATCATCTGTGAATAGTTTCTGAAAGTTTCATTAACATCTGATAATTATTTCTATTTTTGCACGATTTTTCAAATTAATGTGTGTCATACCAAAAAAACGTGCTAAAAATTGTCTATGTTATTTACTAGTTCCGCTAATACAAATAGAAAAAAGGTTTTTTTAATCAAAATTTAGAATGTTCTAAAAAGAAGGAAAATTTTTTAAAAATAATTAAAAAACTTTGGTCTTTCCTCTTAATAATAACATAAGCATTTAGACAATATAATTTAGTTTTCGGCAAGTTTGGCGTCTTTTTCATCAAGCTATGCTCTTTTTTTAGCGATTTCGTGGAGGTACCTAAAACTCGATGTAACCGTAAGTTCTATGATAACAGTTTTTCTCGCTTGTGGAACTAGCTTCCAGTTCCAGGATTTACGGCTAACTTTGATTTTCAAAAATTTAAATGCAATGTCAATCGCTATCTGCACTGAGTAAGTCCTTGTGTCTCAGTGACTTCACAGCCTTGAATGGGGTAATATGTTAAAAAATAAGCCATTTTGAAATAAACTACATAACAGTCGTTCAAAACCTATTGGGTTGGAAAGAAAAATCTCGCACAAATTTATATTTTTTTTTATTAAAAGTTCTGTGCGAAATGTTTTCCAAATCATTATTTACACAAAACAGATTAAAAAGAAATGATATTCTTTAATATTATGAATGTATCTGATCTAACGGCTAGGCGTAAAACTTACGTTATCTATCATTAACTTAGTAACAACTTACTAACAGTTATGATATGACTGTATTTCCTGCTCGTCCGGATTATTAAATTGCTTCGTGACAATATACACGTGTATACTTTCGTTTTGCAACTGTGTGAACTACATTTCTTTTGTAACAGTCATGTATAGGTCGAAGAGACCCCAACAAACAATATTCTATACATCCCGCTGACAAGAAAGCCTAAACAGTTTCTTATGAAACTGTGCCTTTGGCTTCAGTTGAGCATCGTTGTGACGTAGAGACACCACTTTTCATGACCTGTAATGATTTACTCGAGACAGACAGGCGTGCAATTCAGAGAAAGCCAAAAAAATACAGTCGCATGCAAGCAAGTTATGTAAGTTCAATAAATCTGTAACTTCTCTCTCAGAGACGATGTTTCTCCACAACTTCCTCACCAAAACGTGTAGTCTAGACTGTAACTAGGTTGAAGGGAACTTAGCTACAGTTTCTAGAAAAGAGCGCATCATTTTGCGTGATCACTAGATGAACAAGGTCAGTACGCCGCTCAGACACAAGGCCCCGATAACTAGTGTCTTCGATGATTGATTTGCTTAACGGCAAATCAACTCGTTATGAGTCATTTAATGTCAAAATTTAATTTTCATATGTTAATAAAATACGATATGCTATTCTGCTTTCACAATGGAATACATGAGTGATGATACTCAGTATTTGTACATATATATATATATATATATATATATATATATATATGTATATGTTTGTATTAGCATAATTATTAGAGGCAACGATGTGTTTTATTTTGTAGTTTTGTTGAAGTTATATTTTGAAATACAGAATGATTTGAGAGATTGTCGGATATTATATGGCATGGAAGTATTCTTTCATGTTGATGTTTTGGTTGATTTTGTTTAGTGGCATATCAACCTCTGTGGGCGATTTAATCTCGAAATTGAAATAATTTGGACAATTTAATGGTTCCAACTAAACATATTTTGAAAAAAAAATGTATTTCTTCAACTACAGATAAAATGTATTTCTGTTAATGTTAATTTTAAAATCTATTGTTGTTGATTTTAGTATACATACTGGGTTGGTGCATAATTATCAGGCGTTTTTGTTGGCGAGTTATTTGTCAATAAGAATTGCTGATTTCTTTGCCTGTGGAATCGACCGTCTTCCAAACAAATGGGAAGAAGTTATTGAAGTAGATGATGACTACGCTCCGGAATAATCATTTAAAAATGTTATTGTTGAATTAATATATTTCTTTTTTCATAATTAGGCACTAGCACAATAGGTATTGTGCATAAAAATATATTGCTGGTATTTTGCCATAAAAATATATTTTATGTTTCCATGGTGTTTTTCGGGGGGGGGGGTTCACTATTTGCCCATAACTGGGACACTAACATGTTCTAACAACGGACCTAGGAACAACAGCAATTAAGAGGAGTTTCCATGCTCCACAAACTTACAATCTTCAGATCAGCGGTTTTGCTGCCGGATATAGTTGTGACTACATGCTAGCACAACGATCGGCGAGTTCCATGGTGTTTTATCTACCCAGTTTCACTTGCAAGAGATTAGGTCTATGGTGGTATGCTTTTCAGGTATTTTCCAAACGGAGCCGCACGCTGAAATCTTCTGACCAGGCTGCTATTATCAAGTTATCTTAACAAATCGATGATAGTGATATTCGAACCCGGTGTAAAATCCGGAAGTGTACCTCCCCTAACTTTACCACAGTTATTTTAGTCTAGGTTATTTTATAGCCGGTGTTTAAGTTTGGCTTGTTCAGTATATATCTGTTTGCTCCTCCATTTGTCACTGAGTTAACACGCCAGTAAGTAATGTTGGTTAGTATAGGCGTTATGTCCAGCTATTTGCTCAGATAAATTTATAATATTAAGAAACAGCCTTTCTTTTAAGCGGGTTTGTGTTAATATTAAATTACAAACAGTCCCAGCACAACTTTTAATAAATATATACATAAAAATTGCGCGGGTACTTTATTTCCAACCCAATAGTTTTTGAATGGCTGTTATGCAGTTAATGTTTGTTTCAAAATGATTTTAGTATTTAACTTTTTTTTTTTGACATGTAAAATATTTAATGATTTTTTAATATATTTTATTGAAATGAAAATTCTTCTTAAGGGACTTGATATAAGTGAAAATTATTTTTAAACGTATTTTATGTAACTGAAAATATTTTGTATTTTAAAGATTTTTTCTCAATTGTTTAATAGGAATTTTTCACGGTGTTCAATTGAGATTACCTTGGAGGCATAAAGTATTATGTTTTGATCGGAAGGAAAGTTTGAAGAAAAATATATCAGATGATATATATATCAGAGAGGCAGGTTATAAATTGGCTAAGCTAGAAAATTTACCCACTAGGGCAGAATATATCCCTTTCACATAACTCCGCACACCTTCCATTCCTTCTCCTTCATAACACGTCTGTCTTGTTTGTAGTTTTTGTTCCTCAACGCATTTCGACAAAGTTGTCAAGCAAGTTAATCGATGTTTTACCCTTGTTTTATTCAACTTCAGTGTGTTTATTTTTTCGAACCTACTTTTCTCATTATTTCTTTCAAAATTCTGCTTCTAATTGTTACCAGCAGTGTATCTACGGTTCCGATTCTTCTTGGAACTTACCCATTTTTCTACATGCCCTGTCCATGACATTCTCGATAATTATTGGTAGAATATAATCTCGGTTGTTTCATGAACATTCTTTTAATTTACACTTCTATAAAGTATAGTAGATTTTACATAGCAGTGCAACTGGGTAGTGATTCCATACCGTCAAAAAATCTACTTGATACGACAACCTCAGCAGTTAAATCTACAGTAGTGAGGCTGTGGCTCTATACTTATTCAAGTGTAGAGCCACAGCCCAACCAATCTATCTACAGGGTTAACATGCAACATATTTAGCTATACTTACCTATCTTCGTTGTAATGTGGAACAGTGATTATTCACTTATTTCTCATCCGGCTTTTCTTTCCGTGATCAACCACACACACACACGCACAAACTTGCTACGGAAGCCACAGCTACACCACCTATGGTGTCAAGGCTGTGGCTGTATATTCTAGAAAAAGTCTAACATAAAATATATAATGTTGGCATTTTTATATACTACTGCTCATCCAATAAAAGCCCTAAGTGTCACTCAAGCTAGAACGTCACTGCATATGTATGTCATAACGACGTATAGGGAAGATTTTGAAAATTCATATTATGAGGATAAGTACGATAGATAACGGTTGAGTCTAGACTTGTAGAGGTTGCGATCGTAGTGATCAAGGAAGCATCCTTACGGGAGACATTTTCACCACGTAACAGTTCTGTTATGAGTCAAACTCCCTACTTATCAACAGAATGCGAAGTGAATGGGGATGATTTATGCGTCTGTACGTTGCATTAGCTGAGAAGGTCTGAAGAGGTGGAACTAATGAATATAATTCGCCAGGAGAGTAGCGAAAGTTGCGATTTTTCTTCTTTGGGAAAAGGGTTGTAGGGTGGAAAATCATCCCATTTGTGTTTGTCTGCTTAGGGAAGATGCTGCTTCTCGATATGCGAGGTGGCTCAACGTGAACGGTTCCATTTCTAAGCAAAGCTTATAAGATGTATAAACAATTTTGGAGGTGGGTACGTGAAACTGTAAAAAAAGAAAATGCCTATGAATATAAGAAAAATTGCATTCAATCGCAGTTTGGAAATCAATACGAACAATGAAAAAAAAAAAAAATAAGTTACTTACAGTATCGTCAAGTCGTACTTGTTAAATGTGCTTGCTGACAGAGTATAGTTGAGAAAATTACCGGACAAGTGACTGGGAGAAGCAGAAAAAGAAAAAAAAAGTCGATTACTATAATTATTTATCGGTATATCGATAACACAGTACAAAGGAAAATATTACAACGCATATAAGTATATCACTATACGCAAATATAAACAAACATGCACACACACACGCACACACACACACATATATGCAGATATGTAGAAAAATAGGAAAGAACACGTTAGGTAAATAATCCGGAGTTCCATACAGAAGTAGAGCTTAAATTATAATTATTTTTTAAAAAATATGATTCCTTCGCTACATAAGAGTTCTCATGTTTACCTTGTCTGTCTATTTATACTATACAATCTAACTGCACAACGTGAATTAGACATTAATGTCAACGGGCTATACAGAGATGACGGGCTTATGGTAGTGAGGAGCTCCACAAATTTTAAAATAGATAAAATTAGCAAGATAATATACAGTGAATTCAGAAAACTACTGTCAATACTAAATTAAAAAGGATAAACTTCCGTGACGTAACTCTAGACTTAATGAACACCTTACAGAAAGCCTAACACTAATCCCTTGTATGTACACCCTAAGTCAAACCACCCTCCATCTATAATTAAGCATATACCTACATCAATAGAGAAAAGAATCAGCATGAACTACGCTAATAAGGAAATATTCCAACAACACAATAATTTTTATAACACAGCCCTAAAAAATAGCGGATACAAAAGCGCTAACATAAATAATAGAAACAATACTACTAACCAGAAGAAAAACAGGAAAAGGAAAATCATTTGGTATACCCCTCCGTTCAACCAAATGGTTAGTATTAAGCTAGGACATAAGTTCCTAGCTTTAATTGAAAAACACTTTCCTACTAATAGCAGACTTAGCAAGATCTTTAATAAAAACACCTGAAAATTAAGTTACAGTTGCTCTGGGAATTAAAAAACAATCATAAAAAAACATAATAAAATCTTGGGAAAACACGCATGCCAAAACAGTATTAATAAAAATCCTAGACTAAAATTAGACAAAAATAATGAAAAACTATGTGATTGTAGAAACTCTGAAGACTGCCATTTGGAAAATAAATGCCTCACAAAATCTCTGGTATACCAATGCATTATCTCATCCATTGAGAGTCCTAACACTAATAGGATATACATTGGTTCAACGAAGAATGAATTTAAAATTAGATGGAGACAACACAAAAGCTTCTTCAATAATATTAGAAATAGAAATCAGACATCTCTATCCAAATATTTTTGACATTTAAAAGAAATGAATAAAACACCAAAAGTAAAATGGAAAATAATAAATAGAACAAGAACTTGGAAAACCTGGGATGACCCATGCCCTTTATGCCTACATGAAAAACTACACATTATTAAGTTTCTAAATAATGAAAATTTATTAAACTATAGTCATGAGTTAACGGTTTTGTGCCGACATCAACAAATTTTCGCATTAAATAATTAGCAGAAAAAATTCATAGCCTAATAAAAGGTTTAAAAACTTAACCCAATCATAAGATAGAAAAACTCTTTATGAAGTCGTCAAAAAAATAAATTGTAGTTCAGTGCGACGCGTTTAAGTACGAAAGAGCCCTTTAGAAAAAATAGGATAAATAAATAAATAAAATAAAACAAAATTCTCTAGGCACTTAACGACATATTATGGTGCCAAAACTATCTTTCGCCATGACTGACCAGACGACGTGCGCACATGAATGCTACCATTCCCTTTAAAATGGATACCCCCACCCTACCTCTGCTTGACCTCTTTCCGAAGGTGACTGATATGTGGATAAAAATTATCTCTTAGGCCGCTTAGTAAAATGGTCACCCCAGCCGTTTCCATAGTAATTAATTTTGCGAATGAACATTCTTATAAAGATGCGTAAATTTCAAGATTGGTTACTCCTAAATTTTCGCTTGATGATGAAACAGGGCTTGATACTTTATCTCAATTTAATTTTAATAATTATATTGAGGTTTTAGGCTCTCGTTTTTGAAACATGAGAACTCTTATGTAGCGAAGGAATCATATTTAAAATAATAATATAGCTACGGATCTATTTTCTTCAGGTTAGGCACTGCCTACTTTGCCTATCAAGACGGCTTTCCCTGATATATATTAATAAATAATTGGACAGCAACCCTTATTTTAAACATGTTTCCTTGAATATGACAGTCAAGAAAAAATTAATTATTTATTATTTAGTTTTTCCAGCATTCTTATACTTTTTCGTTTGGTAGGAGTAAAGGAGTGTAAAAATTGCCCATATTGTCATTTGTCCCAATTGTTTTCGTCCACTTTAGTCATTTTCAAGGGCATTTGATTTTATGTTTTGATAATGTCTCTTCATGTTTAAGAATTGTTTTGGATTGTTTTAATACCAGAAAGTAGTGTTTATTCCATGTTAAGCGCGGCTGGAGTTCGAGTGAGTGTCTATTTTTTAAAACTTTCAACACACCATTCCCCTTGTTGAATTAGTTAAGCTGCATAATGGGAGTCAGATGTTTTATATATAAAACCTCTTTCATAGCGAGATGTTTCCGGTAATGTGATTTATATAGAACTTTAGTGTTTTAGACCAGCATTTTCGTTAAGGGTTGTTGTAAATTGTGTGTAGCGGATTTTTTTTATAGCAGTTTGATCAGATAAGTGACACGTGATTCAAAGAGTTGGTAGTATGTCTGATATAGGTAACTGATTTGAGCAAGAAACAGTCTTGTACTGGGCAGTGAAATTGACAAACTATATTGGTCATAGCTAGTTTAGATTTGATGGGGTTATTTTGATTCATGACAACAATGTTTGAGGTCTTGCATGTTCTGTAATATATTATAAGTTTTACATGCTTTGTAGTAAAATATATTGATATTTTTTGTGTGATATTTTTATTACTGGTGTTGTATGTTTATTTCTATGGATAATTTAATTTGTTTATCAATTTTTGCACTTATGCAAGAAGTATGGAAAAACTAAATAAAAATAAATAAATTTTCCTAGTTTGTGATATACAAAGAAACATCAGGCCATGGTAAAGAAATGTTCGAAAACTGGCACTTTATACACCTGCAATTTCAAGATCTTAAAAGTATAGTTGATGCATGCACAAACCAAAATATCAACGAGGTGGCAGAAATGCACATCCAGTCAAGATGAAAAACAAACAATCAACTAATCACAACTGTACCGAAAGAGTAATGGATACCATGGGGATGAATAGGACCTCGGCAAACGAGCTTACTGCTAAAAGGAAAATAGTACTCAACAATACAGGGACCTCAAGTTCCTCCGAGTCGGGGTATTAAATTTAATTTAAAATTTATCTAATTAAAATATATTAAGGCTGTGCCATTGAACTCTCTTCCTCCGGTGTGCCTTTATAACAAACTCTCTTAGAAGCTGCTTATTACAAACACGCACACACACACACACACTCACACACATATGTCTATTTTTTCAAGTTTAATCCTCTCAAATCCACGGATCAATTTCGTAATGTTGTTATTAAATTCATTATGAAAGACGCTGTAGTTTTTTCATTTCTTTTATTTTCCCCAAGTACTTTCAATCTCATCCAGGATCATCTTCAGGGTTGAATTACTAAGACAAAAATTAATGTAACATATTTTTTTTTCAAATGCGCATGAAACGTGCTCTGTTAAATAATAAGCCGGTATGAAGACCTAACCATCTTGAAATTTAATACAATGACATATTATGAATAATATTAACTACAGGAGACATTGATATACGATAGTAAATTTTATTTCTAATAAATCTTAATTCTAAATTAAAATTATAATTCTAAATTAAAATGTTAAATTCTAAGTTTTAATTTAAATTTAAATTAAAACTCCTCAATTTTAATTTCAAATTCTGAATTCTAATTTCAAATTAAAAATTTTAAATTCTAAATTTTAATGTTAATTCTAGTAAATTTTAAATTACTTAATGAAATATTAATAATTTTAGGCTAATATATATGACTAACATCCTGAAAGGAACATCTGCGGTATCTCATTAAAAACAAGACATCCTCGAAATAATGCCACGTAATTCCCCTTCCCCGCCAAAATATAATGAAGCTAAATAAATAAATCTTCTTGAATTGTTTCTGTGAATGACTCTGCGAATGTAATATCATCCACTTTTTCAGGGTGAACTGCAACAAATTAAGGGTGTGCACAATTACATCGATGAATAGAGCAAGCGTTCAGATACAAAAGATTTTCTTTTCACTACCGACATCTCAATAGAAAGCTCTTTGAAACTTGTTATTTCATGTACATCATTTTCACCACTGTTGATTCTTTTTACCCATCTTCCAACAGTGCTCATACCCCATTTTTTTATCTTCGTCAATGTCCAGCAAATGTCGCTGAATTCCAGTGGTCACTTGCTTTTCTGTATACAAGAATTTTATTGACAGACATCTGCTTCATGTGCACTATGATATCAGACACCATTTTGAGAGACTGTCGCTCAAATGCTGTCTCTAATAAGACAAACAATATTGTTTATTGGAGGGAAGGTTATACCTCTACTGCCATAGCGAATATAAGTTAAGACGCATTAATTTCGGGGTGACCGCCGTCTCATTTGTAAATACAAAAACCAAACTCGAATTAGAGTTGTCTATTTATATTTTTTGGTTGGTTGGTTGAATTTTAACGGTATATAAACCTCTACCGGCTATTTATTGCCGAAATTTAAATAATTTAAACACAATTTTATAGCTTCAAGTAAATATATTTTGAATGCAATTGCATACCTTCAACTACAGACAAAATGTACTGTTGGTCATTTTGCTATAAAATGTATTGTTGATAATTTTACTATAAATATGTATTTTTGATAATTTTTTATATAAAAATGTATTACTGATATTTTTACTATAAAAAGGTATTTTATAATTTCATAGTGTTTGGGTTTGGGTTTCATGGTTTATCCTCATACCCAGGGCAATATTTACATTTGTCATGTCTGTAAATAGTTTTTATTATACCATGTTGACCGTGTTTATTTTTTCATCTTGTCATCAAGCGATTCAACACGTAAAACTTTTAGCATTGGTGTAACATGAGCCTAACTGTAGAGATAGGATTGATAATGATAAATTTGTAGTTAGATAGTTTTATAACATTTCTTACAATTGTATCGATCCTTCGTTGGTTTTCGGTACTTTCTTTAATCCTCTTTGAGTACAGTTCATAGAGATTCCAAAACATTCGCATTCGTCGGTTGGATAAGGACATTTGTAGGCTGAAAAATAAATAAAAAAGAAAATGTTTTCTTGTGAAAAGAAAAATTTAAAAACCAGTAAACAGAAAGGAAACTTTCAGGAACTTTGCGAAGATATAGACAACTCACTCACTCAAGTCCCATGGAGTCCACTGAAGCATATGATGTGACGTTTCCGCTATGGTGATTTAATAAGCGTAGCTTAGTCATAACACAAGGCAGAATGCATGGGTTACCCAGTGAGGATCGAACTCTCTATTCAATTGATTTAGAGGGACAAGCTTGCTAACCATTACACCATGTCGAAGTACCCTAGGCGTCGTTGTGCCGAATTGCGTAGCTAGTAGTTTTTTCTTTACTGGCTGGAGTTGCTTGATACCTGACTGACCAGTTTTGTATTCAGAGTTGTACTTCTAGACTGCTTACCTACCAAGGCTGAAGAGCCCTGTCTACCCTACTATTTAAACTATAGCTTTGACAAAAGATGATTCATACCTTTCGCAACTGTATTTATCGACTGTACACGACTCGAATTCGAACAGTCTCGTTCGTTGCCTTTAACCATTACAACACCTACATATCCGAAGCATAGACGAAGAAGCTACTCAAGACATGAAGGCCCTATATTGGTAAGTTGCCTCATGGTTGGTAGATTTATGTATCCTCCTCACCGACTGATAATTTTCAAGCAGCGAATGTTGGACATTTTCCTCCCGTATGAAGATGAGACTAGAAACAACGGAAATGTGATTTCTTAAGGATGCTGAGAATACCATGGGCGGAGCGTGTAGGGCAACAAGGGAGATTTAAGGAAAACGCAAACAAATAGGACACTTATACTTAGAATCCGAAAAAAGCAGTTGAATTTTTTACGACATATAATGAGGAAAGCCGCTTTGGAAAATTTGACTCTCACGTGACATATCGAAGTAAAGGGAATACGAGAGAACAAGAAATGATAGGGATAGTAAAAATAAAAATATTGTTAAGAACTATCAAGGATGGAAAGATGTAGAAAGTCTGCAGGAACACGGCCCATGGAAGAAGTTCTGACTATTTGTTCTATTAGTGCAACACAATCTTTTTCTATCTATTTTTTAAAACCATTTCACTCCAAGCAAGGCGATAATGTCACTAAGATGCACGATTACTAGGATTGGCATAGAATGAAAAAAAAAAGTTAGTGAGGAAGCATATCATTAAAAGTAAAAGATTCAGGAATATAGAAGATTGCTATTGGTGCTGCGTTTAAATTTTTGAAGATTGTATGGGAGCAAGAAACCTGAATAGTATTCCTCGAGCGAGAAGGGCGAGGAAAGAAATTATTAGACTAGAACTCATGATTACATGTAGCTAATTCAAAAGTAAAATTATAAGACCTATTTGCCAATCTAGTAGTACGCTTAAATTCATTCGGTCAATGTAGCAAGGAGGAGAGTAATATTTATTTTGCAAATACAAAAAGGTGGCACAAAGCCAAACGGAGGACATGGGAATACTGGTCTTCAGTCTGTCTTATTTTAAACTTAGCTAGCCACGAGTACTGACCCAAACATAGCACAGTATTCCTTACACCAAATCAAAACATTCTTACTACGGTCACTATAATACATCAAAATCTCTATGGAGCCCTCACTAGTTGCTATATGTACAATTTGTCTGTGAGAGAGGAACGAAAATAACTTTTAAAAATGATGCCCCAGTGAATATTTACAATGATTACAATATTCATTAGGGTTTCATTGAATATCATAGTTGAAACTAATATTTATTTTGTTTTAATACAAAAACGTGGCACAAGGTCAAACGTGTGAGGAATAAGGGTGGGCTTGTTATTAATTTATCTTATCTTAAATTTAGCTCAGCAGGATTACTGACCCAAGCCTCGCACAGTATTCCTTAAACGAAAACAACATATTCCTACTTAACATTCTTACTACAGTCACCATAATACCTCAAGGCTCTATGTAGTCCTGACTAGTTCCCATATGTACAATTAGTCATAAAATAACAACATTTAAAAATGAAATCTAATAAGATGGAGGGATCATTAGAACAATTGCCATGACAATATTTATAAAAAATAATAGAGAGAAGCTACATCATGGCGGTAGGAAAGTGATTGAAGTCGAAATACTATTTCTCTCTTTGGTTTTTGTCAAAACATTTGTTTTAAATGTTATATCTCTTCAGGTCGTTGGCGATTATCACTTTCCGCAGATTCATTTTCATTATAATTATCTGTAAATTTTGATAGCTTCTTAGGAAGGATAGTCTTTTCTTTTATTCATTGTGTTCTTCATTGTTTCGAAATCAGGATAGTCTCCACGCTGAGACTTAAGCCTCCCTAGGTGCGAAAGCCTATAATATTACCCAATAGCTGAGGGGAAGAGATGAATTCATCTCTTCCCCAAGAATATTATTGTGAACGCAATAGGCTAGAACGGAATTTGAACTTGGTTTGCTATATTTACTTCTCTGCATCGGTAGCTGTTGCAACATCTGCACATCCATAAGAAAAAATACAAGAATTATTTCTTTCTTTCCGCAATATGATATTTTTTTCTTTGATGAGAAGATCGCGTTTTTTTTTTAAACACATGGAATCTGGGAGCAATATGGCTCCTCTGGCCTTGTGTTCCTTAATCTCTTTTTATTCGCCACTAGAGTTGCGAGATATCTTTTACGGTTTTTAGCTTTTGAAATTAAGCTTGTCTCACTTTGCAGTTTTTTTTTAACTTAAATGATTTGCCATGACTTTTTGGGAAAAATAGTGGAGCGGTTTCCTTCTTCACGGTTTTCAATTCAGAGTAAATTTTGCCCTTGACTGGTTATCAAACAAAGCTAGGGAACCCAGTCTACACTGCTATTTAAGCTATAACATGTGTTTGGTGGGGGGTTAAATAATGGTTTCAATCCTTTCACGTGAGCATTTTTGCAAATTTATGCCCATCAGACTGGGTCAGAATTCGAACTAGGTTCAGTCATTCCAATGTTTTGCACGGATAACAGTTATGCTACCAGCACAAGAAAAATATATAATAGTTCTTTCTTTGTTACAGCGATATGCTACGCAAAGCTGCGCCTTTCTTTTCTTTTTTCATTTTTTTTTTTATTTAAAGAATATAACATTATTTTTCCCTGCCAAAGTGATCTACTTCTCTGGACACCTAGCCATGGAGCAAGACGAGTTGGTCGCCCAGCAACCATTTTCATTGACCAGCTATGGTATGACACAGAATGCCACTCTAATGACCTTGATGCGGGATCGTGAAGTTTGGTGTGATAGACTAGTGATAGTTTGACCGAATAATAAAAATTCAACATTAAAAACACTGTGGTGGGAGTTATATTGCACTCTCTAGAATGTTGTCTACTAAACTTTCTTTATTTGCTATTAGCATTGAAATTGAATATATCATAGCAATATCATTTAGGCGGTCGACAATGTCGCATTGAGATCGTTTCATTTTGAAACTTATTTTTTATAGTGATTCACTAAGCGTAGATGTGAAAAAAGTCCGAAAGCATGAAGCACCTAGTGAAAAATGAACTCACTACTCAGTTGCAATAGTGAATCCATTGATTGACCAGCTGCCAAATCATTTGGTTCACTGCGTCGTGCGAGACAATTTTTCTCTCCAGAATCTATCTTACATATCTATAAGTCTACCATTGCTGTCACATATGGTCCGGTGTCCTTTACATTGAGCTCCTTGATAAATTCTGGAGAAGAATCAGCAATAGAATCAGTCCTGTCCTGGCAGATCGACTTCAGTCACTTTCCTACCGCTTAAGGTTATGTATTTTTCTATAAATACTTTTATAGTAAATGTTCAGATGAGCTCTTCGCTATGGTAAACAGTACTTTGCTTATTTTTTTTGTAAATAGCTTTAGCACATATTGTAAACACATAGTAGGGTTTAGATTTTTAAAACTGTTGTTTTATTTCCCTTCTTCCACAGGCAAGAATTGTACATGTGGGGACTAGTTCGGACTTCGTAAAGATTCTGTTGTACTATTGTGTATATAGTTAGAATGATAAATAAGAATGTTTTGTTTTTGTGTAAGGAATATTGCTGCATGTTTGGGTTGGTAATTGTGGCTGGCTAGGTTTAATTATAACAGTGAAGAAGACCAGCCTTTCCACCCACCCTTTTGGCCTTGTGCCACACTTTTGTATATTTACAAAACAAATATCGCTCTTTGTTATGGTACTTACTCATTTTGAATTTAAGCGAAGTAGTAGACTGTGATCAAGATCTCACCAATTTACAGTTCTATGCTAATAGTTTGTTTCTCGCACTTCTCGCTTGTGGAACACCTTTCCGACTCCATACTTTCCTGCCAACTTTAATCTGTAAAAATTTAAATGCAATGTCAATCGCGATCTACTGTCCTCTTGAATACTCTTTCCTCTTCCTGCGTCTTATTAATGTTTCTGTTCCTAATTCTTCCACACCCAGTAACCGTTTGTATTTTAGTGACTTTACTGCCTTGCATGGAGTGAACTCTATTAAAAATGATCTGGAGAGACAAGCCTGGAAATCTTGTCTCGCTAGAACAATTACGACTGAGTAGTGAGTTCAATCATCACTGGATATCCCGTTCTTTCGGCCTTGTGCCACATCTAAATTACGCTTAAAAATAAGTGCATTTCAAAGTGTCACAACTAAGTAAATCATCATCACACCACGTTGAAGTGCCAAAAACAACCTTTTATTCTTAAATGAATGGCTATTATTTCTTGGGAAATATATTGGAGCATTTTCCCGTTGGTTTCTCCACAGTTTTGAATTCAGAGTAAACCATTTCTTTGACTGGTTAACAATCAAGGCTAGAAAACCCTGTCTACTCTGCTACTGAAGCCAACGCATGGGTTTGGGTGGGGATGAGATTGAGTCTTCCACAATGAATACTGCGAAAGTGAATGGAGACTGGGATATATTTCAAGAGAAGTGGAGTAATGCTTTGTAAACTGGCCCCATCGTATTTCTATAGTTTGATACGTATTTGGTATTTTGTGTCAGATTTAATTTAAACTTAGTAAATCGAGTTTTCTTGCAGTAAATGCAATGCCTATTATGAAACAGCTTAATACTTTTTATCTTAGGAAAACGGCTTACAGCCACATCACGTTAAAACACCGGTTCCCGTACGATCACCGAAGTTAAGCAATCTCGACACTGTTCAGTACCAAGATGGGTGACCGCTTAGAAATACTAATCATAGATGGTGTAATGGTTCGGAATTGTTAAATAAAACCAACCAACCTACCAAAATTAAAACACGGTATCAATGTTTATATTACTCCCTCTAGCGTTGTTTTAATTAATCTCCCTTTTTCCAGCATGAGCCTTATATTACAGCGGCATCTTTTACATATATTTACGACGTCTTTTACGACATGCACCAATTCGAATAAAAATCATCTCATTTTGCAACGTTCTTCGATGCTTATACAATTTTCCATAACTTCTAGGGAAAGATTTAAGGAGCGGTTTCCCGTTAACTTCTCTATGGTTATGAACCAAGCGTAGTCTAGATGTGAAAAGGGTCCTGGACACCTTCATTTTCGATGAATTTCATGGATTCTTCATAAAGTGGCTGTGAGGCTTCAACAAGTGTACTGAAGTCAGAGGATCCTATTTTGAATGGGATTAGAGTTTTTTACTTCACTGAAATGAATAAATGTCTTTCCAAAAAACGTCGCAAAGGCACCTAGTATCTTTAATAAAGATAACGTTTTTCATTTTTAAACTCATGGAGAGGCAGGCGATTATGTTATTCCTTCTAGAATTGTGTTTATTAATCTCAGTTTATCCGATATCTCTCTTTATCCTTTATCTTTATATCTGTTAGGACGTTTATAATATCAAATTAAGATAATCTTTGGCAATCTCGTTTCTATGTTTATATGATTAGCCATTACGTTTTGGAAAACAGTGGGGCAGTTCCCGCTTGCTTATCCATGATTTTAGATTTCAGAAAAATCCTTCCTCAGACTGGCTGCAATCTAAGACTAGAGAGCCAAGTATACTCTGCTATTTAATCCATAGATGGGGGTTGTTATAGTAATTTACTTACCACAATGGAATTCGTCCCATTTCGTCATAATGCAGTCAGTTCGACCATCGCATACTTGTTCGTTTGTAATGCAGTAATCGTTGCGACATTTGAAATGTCCGACTTGACATTCCCATTCACCTGTGAAGAGATTATTATTATTATTATTATTAATAATCCACATACAAGGGAATTTCAGGTGGCCTGATGGTTGTATCTAGCATGAAACAGTTTGTCGACTGAGTGTTGACTTCAATGTTCACTTTTATATATAATTTCAATATTTCACATAAAAAGAGGGTGTAATAGATAAAAGTTAAGAGTGTTAGAATAGGAAAACAAATATTGGCAATGAGCAAAGCAAATGAAAAATACAAACATATACAAATGTATATAAGCATACTCAAAAAAAATACTAACAATATTATCAAAATGACTATAAATGATTCAACGCCAATTTAAGATTAGAATGTAACGAAACACAAGTGTTAATTATTAAGTCCAGAAGCAATTTTAAAATCGCTAAAAAACAATCGATTGCAGTTAGTAAAGACAATTCATTTAAAATACTAAAATGTACACATACACACATAAACAGATATATCCACATAGATAGCTTCATATATATATATATATATATATATATATATATATATATATATATATATGAGCATAAATATATAAACAAGAACATACATAACATTCATAAATACACACACACATATATATATATACACAAACATAAGTACACGTACAAATATATTCATATATACACACATACCAGCAAATATACACATATATCCATATATCACTTCTTTCTTTAAATAATTTTAATTATTTTAAACTTTACACAGGTTAAACTTAAAATTGTAATTTTTATGTTCAATTTTATAGTAAAATTTCAAATTAATCAAAATGATTTCTATTTTAGTCTAACACTAACATTAAGGCATTAATAATTATAACCAAGGTCCGATGTCAAGCTTTTGAAATTTTTATACTTGCATGTTGATTGGTTTGTATATATATATAAATGAATCCAATAAAACACCTACTGAAAAATGAAATTATAACGAAAAGCTAGATGATGTAGGCCATTGAATGACCTATGTCCTTTGTACATACATATGAAACTTTATTACTAATTTATATATATAAAATAAATAAATAAATAAATCAGAGAAATGAATTATCTATTTTTGCAGTAAGTGGCATAAATATTACTTAAATAATATTTAAATATAAAAGTTTAAAAATCGTAATATACATATATTTGATATGGAAAAATAATTTTAATTACTATAAGTAATTCTAATACATTTCCTTCTATTATAAAGTAATATAGTCTATTAAAAGTAACAATGAACATATTTTAAAGTTGTAATTAAAATTGTAGTTAAATAAAATTAATTCTAACCTAAACTTCTTTTACTTAGTACTACACGCACTTAAAAGAATACAATAAAACACCTACAGTAAAATAAAATTAATATGAAATGCCAGGAGATGTAAACTTTTGAATGACCCATGTCCTTTGTACTTACATGAGAAACAATAAATTACTAGGTTTATGTAAAAAATAAAAGTTTACTAAATCAGTGAAATTAAGTAACTATTTTTTGCCGTCATTGTCATAAATTTTACTTAACTAATATTTAAATAAAAAAAAAAAATGTAACCTAATATACATACTTATAAATGATGTAAAAAATAAATTCTACATACTATATGGGATTCTAATACATTTAATTGTTCTTAAAAAATATAGTATAATAAAAATTAAAAAATAAAATATTTCAAATCGTAGTTAAATAAAACGTATTCTAACCTAAACACCCCAAAATCTTTAAATATACAAATAAAAAAAATGCCGTAAATTTTTGCCGTTAACAATAAATTAAAAAAAATCCAGACGACAAACATTCAACGGATGTCAGATTTCATTGAAAAATACATCCCTACCCACTACCAATAACGGATACAATAATACAGACATAATGAACATCCAGATACCCCTTGTCCAGTTTATTAATTTATCTGCAACCTTGGAAACTGAATTATGATTTTATTAGAATCTTTAAAACCCTGATAACATTTTACTCCAAAATTAGCTTGAGGATGAAATGGAACTAATGTCTTTAATTTAATTACAAAATTAAATTTGAAGCTTTTATGTGGCTTCAATTTTTGAAACATGGTTAGAACTGTGTGCGATAAAAAAAACATATTTTAAATAAATCAATTTATAATATTAATGCTCTGTAAATTTACATTGAGCACTATTTTGTAAAAATAAAAAATATCTATAAGAACACCGGATTTATATCTTACTATTTCTTTCTTATATATATATATATATATATATATATATATATATATATATATATATATATAATATGAAAAACAAAGTTATTTTAAGACATTTCTATGTTTATACATTCTTTTATATATACAAATATTTAAGTAAATGCTCTGTTTATAATAAACAGTATCAAAACAACATTTATCAGCCTGAATGTCTGAAAAATTTTAGCTAATAGCATTAAAGAAATAGATGAACTTAAGACGAATATTTTCTGTAAAAATGTTTTTTAATACTGTTTATTATAAACAAGATTACTTAAATATTTATAAAAAAAATGTATAACAAAAAAATCTTAAAATTATATATATATATATATATATATATATATATATATATATATATATATATAATACATGATATATTGAAGCTTATCTCATCCTTTATGACCTTCTTACTGCCTTAACGTAGGTTCCCTGTACCTTTTTGATAAGGATTTTCATTGTAATTATTCTGATCTGCGTTTCTATTTGGTACCCCGATTTCACGCAGCACTCGATTGGCAGATATGTCTCAATTTCCCCGTGGAATTTTCTGGATGGATTTGTACGTTCTATACTAATAGTTACTTCTGCATTTGTGGAAGTCTCTACCGGCTTCGTGAGTTCTTGCTTACCTTCAATAATACCGATGCAATGTCAATAGCTATCTTCTGTTTTCTTGGAGTCCGTTTTTTATTGCCTTCTTTGTTCCTTTTAAATTCCATAAACCATTGCGTCTTTTATCGCATTACATTCGCTGAAATAATTAATATATACCTACAAGCATGCATCTGTCGTGTAATTTATTGGGGTTGTTGGAACGTCTCCCTTTAAGGTAGTTCTTATCGCTCACCCCTTAACCACCTTTATCTAGAGACGAGACGCGTTAAATTTGAGCAACATCCAGCCGACACACTGGGGTTAAAATAGGAAACTAAAAATGATACATATGACACACTTGATATCCTCTCTCCCACCTCACTTCCTCACTTCTTTACTTTGCGTATACTTGATGAGGTCCGTAAAAAGGTGTGAATTTCTTCTCATTTTTCATTTCAGCTTAAATAGTAAAGTCAGATGATCCAGAACCCTGTCAAAGGGTTATGGTGAAATAAAATTACATGGAATCTTAACGTGGTCAGTCTTTTATTCAAACACATATATATATATATATATATATATATATATATATATATATATATATAAGCAACGTTTTTTGTTATGGATTTTAAATATATATATATATATATAAATATATATATATATATATATGGGGACCGCCATTATTTTCCATAGATATGGAAAATAAAGTAATATATATTGAAAAAACACATTATAAAAAAAACGTTTGCGTTTGTAGAATCTTTTCTCTTTAATATATATATATATATATATATATATATATATAGCTAATTGGGTTGATAGAAAGGCAATACTGGACTATAAATATCAATACCGTTGAGTCATAAGTCCCATAATCTAAAGCTCTCAATCACAGAAACAATATATTGAAACAGCTGAAGAAATAAATTTATCAATAATTCTCAAATGCAAGTTCATGAAGACGTTTTGGATTGCAAAAAGGATGCAAAGGAAGGAAACCAAAAGATTTTGATTGAAAGTCTGCTTTTAACTGATAACCATGAAACAATATTCCTTCATTTTCTAATCAGAAGCTTTGATCAAAAGAAGAGAACCGAATACTTTTCAAACATGGATGCAAAGGAAGAAGGTCAAAAGACAGTTCTTCTGAAAGCCTATGCTTAACTGGATGACCTTCATGAATGAAATAAAACAATTTTCCTGATTTTTCATCAAAGCAATGGGATGATAAAAAGATTCAATTTAGAAAAATACGAACTTAGTAAAATCCGAGGTTTAATTCATCAACAATGGTCAGCATAGGATTAAATTGCTGTATTCCTTTAATAATGTGAATCAATGAATGACCATAGTTCTGTTTGATCTCTCGCCCATTCAATGAGACAAAATATCAAATTAAAATATTAATTTTTTTTTAAAATACAAGAAACATATCACTGCATTACTTTACATTTTACTGTGTTATTTGTATTTATTCATTTTATTATTAATTTTGATATTTCATTTATGAAAAATGTCATAACTGAGGATTAATATAAAATTAAGGTGGATATAAATTTCATAAGATGACATTCATACTTTTGTAGGCACCGTACTTCCGTTGAAATTGAAAAATCAAATGGCATTTTATTCCACACATGTTTCTGTTATAACCGAAACACATTTATAATTAGTTTGAATTTAAACTCTCCCATACATGTATTCAAGTTTAGTAGCGCAGTCGCCAGGAAGCTCAGTGGAGTTGGTGTAAAAGTCGCCGATGTCCAGAAATTATGGTATAAATCAAAGAAACTAGATTGCTTGCCATTAACTATTATTTCAAGTTCCTAACGTTTTGATTGGAGAACTTAATAGGACCCATTAGAAATACAAGCCCACTTCAAAAAACTACAACAATTTTGCAAAGTAAAGGAGAACAATGTTTAACTCAAATAACGAATCTAATTGTATTCTGGTTGGTCTTCATTACTTTATACTACAAAACTTTATAAACACAAATTATATTTTAATTACTGTGGATCTTCTGATTAGTCAAAACGATACAATTTACAATGTTAAAAAAGATCTATTCCATAGTGACACTTAGGAAACTCCGATGGGCTT